ATGATCAATTCAGAAAGGTTAATTGGGGGGTGAGGAACTTAGAGTTAGGTGACCCATATCTTGGAGTGGGTGTGTCTGTGTGTATGCATGTATGTGTTTCATTCTTCCTAGCCTAACTTCATAACTGTATGTTCCATCTACTCCACTAATGTAATTAGAACTCTGATTATAAAGTCAGGTGGTTGAAGAAGTTGTTTATGCATTTTAAAACCCAGTATTTCTTGGCCTTAATAGTAGAATCTATTCAGTTCTTCTTACCACTTCTCCCTTGGCTCGGATGAGGTGTTTCATAAGGTGCCTTGGGAAAAGAGATATATAGCAGATCTGCTAGAATCAGAAACATCTCATCCTTGGCTGTTTTAGATGACTTCCAACCAATTCTTTGTAGCTCAGTATATTTTCTGAGAAGTGGAGTCCGTATTCAAATTTTGACAGGTCTCAAGAATCACACAGTCTCAGAGTCGAAACGCATCCCGATATCTAGCCAGCAAGCCTGACACTTACTAAGATTAAAAAAAAAAAAAAATTAGGTAGAGTCAGCAATTGCTCTACTTCATTGGGAAAGCTTACTGGAGTTCTGACATTAAAAAAATAACTCCTTATGATGCCATTTTTTCTCAGAATATAAGAAATATAAGCTTTGAAATGGCATACTATTGACCACTCAAAACAATGGAGATGGCTTTGCAAAAACGTTTTAGCGGTAACTGGAAGAAATATTTCCTTTTAAGTTAATATAAAGACAGCTTTGTTATCCCCACTAAGAAGAAGAAACTACCAAGGAATGCTTTAAAAAACATTCCACTTTACATTCAGCCTAAAGGAAGGGAATTGAAAGCTAGTTAGTTCACCTAATTTTTCAAGCAAGAAGACAACTGGGGGACAGAGTCTAATCGTCTGACAGGGTGCTTTGCATTTTCACTCTGCGGAGTAAGCAATTAGAGCCTGACAAATGACGTTTGAAAAAAAAAACACGTAAAAGAGACCAAGGAAATACTCCAAGCTTGGACTAGCCAACTTCTAAGAAATATTAGGGAAGGTGCCTGCAGAATCACGCATTCCAGAAAATACCAGTACAAATCACACATTTTCTCCATTCCAGAATATGTACAAAAACAATGCTTTCCTCAATAGGAAAAAGGTGTTGGTATGCAAAATGTACTCACAGCATCCAGAAGACTTAGCAGCCCAGAGGCGGAGGAGAATCACCCAGCAGGAAGGTCGGCGGTAAGCTCCCCACCATGGTGCCCCACCATCACATGTACCCACAGTGGCACCTCCCACAGTCTCCCTTCAGTGGCCGTGATGCATCTTCTCCATTTTTTGAAAGGGCTGTCAGTCCAGGAGGACCCAGCGCAAACCAACTGCCTGTTATGAGAAGCCAACCTGAGAACTGTAAAACTGCCTGCAGTTTCAAGGCTTGTGTAAGTCTATGATTCACTCCACAATGGGACCGTCAAGCACACCTAAGAGAAATTACAGGTTTCTCTTGTCTGAAGCAGAGCCATTAAAGTGAGTCACTTGTTTGTCCTTCGGTTGTTCGTCTTTATCTCAGATGATCACATGAGACTGTGTTCCATCTACTGCCCTAGTGTAGTGGGAACGCCGGGGTGATAAAAGTCAAGGCTGTCCCACTGTTTGGTGATGATTTTAATATACTATCACATTTTTGCCTGTACTGATGTTGAACATGGTGAAAATTAGCTAGGAAATCAGTCAATAAATTGTGATCTAGTCCCTACCCTAGCATCAAAGAGATTTCCATTTTATTTTTTCAATGACTTAGCCAAGGAGTTCTTATTGAGTCCCTACCTCAGGACCATGGCTGTGGGGAATTCGGACATAGAAGACACAATCTCCATTTGTGGAAAACTTCACATGACCTGACTTTAAATGCAGTGGCCATTTTGGATTGTCCTGCTCCCCATGAAATAGTCCCACACATCCTAATTCTGGTATCTTCTATTTGCATGCCTTCTTTCCCCAAAGATCTAATACAAATGTCCAGTTAAATATCACCAGGAGAGATGTTGACAAAGGAGAAATAAGTGAGGGGCAGTTTTGTTATGTCGTTTATAGCAATGAAGCTCAAGGAGGCAGTATCTGTGGAGATGGGTCAGCTCTAAATATTTAGGCCACTCATTAAGTATTGGGTCACCTGGGAATGAGAAAGCCAGTACCATCAAGTGGTTGTGTAATCAAAGGCCTTTATTGAACATGTTTATTGAACATATTCTACATGTAAGTCACCTTGTTCTTTACTGAGACCATCAAAGGAGAGTAACATAAGGGATCCTGTCCCCAAAGCTTTACAGAGAAAGAAAATACATGCATGCTAAAAGACAAAAAGTAAATAAACAATATAATGCATTAAACACTAAATGTAAACTGAATGGCATGGATTATAAATATTCTAGGAAATCAGATGGGGAGAATCAGCACTTCTGGTTGTAGCAATCAGGGAAGACTTCATGGAGAAGGTAAAAAGTGGACCAGAGCTTGTACACAGAGTGCGGTGAGTAGAGCCCTATGATATGTACTCTTCTTTCCCAGGCAGGGAACTATGATTACAACTGTTATGACATTGAATGTTCAATGGTAAGAACAGCAGATTCTGCCGCTGATACCCCTGATGTTGAATTGATTGGAATGAATACTGAACTCTTTCATTTAGAAGTAAATGAACTAACTCCCATGAATGTGTCCACACTTATGCAAAAGGCCATGGAAATGTATTTGCTTGTATTCATGTGGGTTTGTGTGCAAACAGCAAACATTTTAATGAGCAATTATTATTTGCCATAGGTTACCTGTATTTATTCATTTATTCTTCACAACAACCCTTTAAGGTAGGCTCTATTATCCTCATTTTATAGATGAGAAAACCAAGTCCAAGGAATTTTAAATAACTTTCCCAAGAAGAGCCGTCTATTAAGTGTTCTACCCAGGAATCTGCCTTAGACATTGTAAGCACCAATATCTTCCTAAGTCACTTGACCAAGTCACTTCCCTTGTGAGCTGTGAGCAGGCACTAAATGTATCTCCACACAGGGTCACCTCTGATAACCTAATCCATACAGTTCATCGACATCTTTCAGGATGGTGCAGACTGGGTTGTAGGCTGCATTAGTGGGCAGGGGCTTCCTCTACTAAAAAACCAAACCCATTGCCATAGAGTCAATTCTGACTCATACTGACCCTATACGACAGGGTAGAGCTGCCCCATAAGGTTTCCAAGGCCATAATCCTTATGGAAGCAGATTGTCACATTTTCTCCCACGGAGCTGCTGACGGGTTCGAACTGCTGACCTTTTGGTTAGCAGCCAAGCGCTTAATCACTGCACCACCACAGCTCCTTGTGTTTCCTCTAAAAAAACCAAAACCAAACCCATTGCCGTCGAGTTGATTCCAACGCATAGCAACCCAATAGGACAGAGCAGAACTGCCCCATAGGGTTTGGCACTCCTAAATAATTCAAGATTCTTTGTTAGCATCCGTTGGCCCTCCACAGGTAATGATAAACCAAAGGTGGAGTGTCTTTCCCGCCATCCTATCTCAAAGAAGTGAGCCTATCTGAGTAGAACGTGCTTTCATACTAAATGTGACTGTTCAATACACAATACAGATGAAAGGCCAATCTCTCCCTATCCTCCTGGTGTTCAGAGTTCTCATCTGTAAAATGAGGCAATTGACTCGGTCATTTCTGAAGATTTTTGGATTTATAATCGCATAATTAGCTTCATGATATTCCATTCTCACTTCAACATAGTGACTCTGGGTAAATGAGGTTTCCTTGCACCTAAATCTCTGCATTGACTAAAGCAGGACCGTGCTTGTCCCACCCCCTTGCCTTAAAGAGACTCTACAGATATACTGGAAAGTATAAATTTAAAACCCCTGACTTCATTTGAGAAGGATGCTCTTGTTGTCCCTAGAGGAGCAATGCCACTTGAAAGATGACTCATAATGCAGGTGGGTGCATTTTTCTACCTTCTAGTTGACTTTGTCATTATACTTTTGCCTTCTCAAGCTTCCCTACTTAGAGGAGGAATTTTTTTTTTTTTTTTTTGGTAGTAGTAGTGAAAAAGAGAGAGAGAGAGAAGACTGAGACCCCACTAACTCACAAAGTGAGCCTCACTTTCCCGTTTGCAATGTAACGTCTTTAATACTGACCTTTTGGTAGGGCAGTGAGGGGCCATCTATTGCCCCTTACCTTTATCCACCAGTTTTCCTCTGCTGCAGGTGCCGGGGTGCTTTTTTTAAAAAAGGGCCTCTTTTATTTTTTGTAAAGGGTCTTCTACTTACAGTACTATTCTCCTCTCAGGTGGTTCCTGGTCTGAAGGCTGAATTTGCTTACGTACACTGTTAAGAAGATGAGGAGCTCTCTATCTGAAATATGGTATTTCTCCTTCCCCATCCCAGACTTCATGTTCTTGGTGAGGGTTAACCTTACACTGTCAGGACAGAAAGCTACTCAGTGGCTACATGGTCTTGGAAAGAAAGCCCAGGGCTGGAAGCCAAGAGACTTAAGTCTCTACCTCCGGCTCAGCCTTTGATGAGCTGTGACCCACCATTTCAGGCTTCAGTCTCCTTAACTTAAAATGAGCATCTTTTCTGGTTCCAAAACTGCATTCTTTTCACTTGGGTCACAGCCAGAGAAGTTGCTTCTAAGCTCCAATCAGGCTGACCATCCAACCAATTCAAAGTTGGAGGGGTAAAACACACTGGCAATTGGATTCCTTTCATAAAAAGAACCAGCAATGACCTACTTAGTGTCTGCCAAACTGTTGGTGACTATTTATGAGGGCCCCTCCTCCGCAACCCACAGAATCTAGCCAGGTGATGTCCCAGGCCAGGATGAGCCACAGCTCTCTTCCTGAGGATAAATGTGACCCAACACCATGGAGCTAGAGGCCCTGACAAGACCACAGTCCTGCTGTGGCCTGCTTTGTCTGTCCGTTCCCTTGTGGATGCCCAGCAGGGTATATGCTGACAGTTGATCAGGGCAGGGGCAAATGTTTGGCAGCATGGAAGAGCTTCGAAAGAGGACTCTTCCATATTCCATGCTCTACACCCTCCTCCACCAGCACCACCGGGTGTAAGGCTCCCTTCATACTCTCCACAGGCAAGAGGACAGGACTATGCACATTTCTCCTCGGGGCTACACCACGCCGGGAACATACAACCTTGTCAAGAAGAGAAAACCACAGCTTTAATGAACAAGTAGCAAAGCTCACTTTTTCTAGAAAAATAGGCCCCTTTTGGTAGAGCCTCCTTGACAGATGGAGAGTCTCTTCGCTTTAAGTCACTCTGGAATCCAGGGAAAGGCTTGTCTTATTGCCTACCAATGCTGAGTTATAAACCATGTCTTTCTCTAAGCTGGATCGCTTCTTTTTAAGTGTAACTCCTTTTGGAAAATACCTGTTTCTTTGTACAAGGCCCTGTGCTGCAGACACAGATGTGTACACCTGCGTGAGGAGAGGGAGGGAGGCTCTCTTTGACTCAGTCTACATATCTGAGTGCTTGGGTAGTGTAATCAGTTAACACTCGGCTGCTAACTGAAAGGTTGCAGGTTCGAGCCTACCCAGAGGCTCCTTGGAAGAAAGGCCTGGCAAACTGCTTCTGAAAAATCAGCTATTGAAAACCCTGTGGAGCACAGTTCTACTCTGATACACACGGGGTCACCATGAATCAAAGCCGACTCAACAGCATCCGGTTTTCCTGTTTGTTTTGTTTTGTTTGTTTTTCTCTCTCTCTCTGCATCTCTCTCTGTCTCTGTACCTCTGTGTCTCTGTCAGACTCAGTCTCTGTGAATGCTGTTCTATGCATCTCTCAGCCTCCCTCTGCATCTCGCTGTCTCTCTGTGTGTCTCTGTGAATGTGGGTGTCACATCACAGATACCTCTGAGTCCCTCTCTGGTCTCTGTCTAGATCTGGAGGGACATCAAGACACAGGGTTGAAAGATGTGTCTGTACATGTCCTTGTATCTGGGTGGTTCTCTTCCAATTCTGTCTTCTTGTCCCCCTGTCTATGTATCTCTGTATTTCTGTCTCTCCCTCTGGCCCCCTTCTCTAACTCTGTTTATCTCTCTCTTTCTGTCTCTCAGCAAGCTACCTTGAGTGGTAATAAATTTCTATATTACCCCCAAGGCCTCTCACAGATCTTGTTTTCCATAATTCCCTGATCTTTCAAGACAAGGGGAAATGTGAGGCTATTGCTGATATTATACAAGTCCAGGGGAGGGAGAACTAGAGAGGAGATGGAGGAAAAGGAGCAACTAAGTGGAGCTGGCACCTCTGCTCACTCCCCTCTTAAATATACCCAGGCTCATTTATAAGTACAGTCCCTGGGCAGTACAAATGATTAACACGCTCAGCTGCTAACCAAAAGGTTAGAGGTTTGAGTCCACCCAGAGGTATCTTGGAAGAAAGCCCTGCCAATCTACTTTCGAAAAATCAACCATTGAAAACCTGACGGAGCACAGTTCTACTCTGACACACATGATGGGGTCACTATGAGTCAGAATCAACTCCACAGCCACTGGTTGGTTAATTTATAAGCATCCTCAGGCATGCCTGATTGTTTTACAGTGATAACAAAAAAGTTCAGTAGCACAAGAATTAGAAATGTGAATACATCTCTAACCAAATCTAGGTGAGAATATACGGTATATGGAGCATCTCTTCAATCAAGGGAAAAAATCATTTCTAATTATAATGAATCAAATTGTGACTTTTTAAAGAAATGTCATGTGTCTGTGATGTATATGAGGGCCTCCTTGCTTTGCACTCACCTCCCAAGTTAGGGGTATAGTCTGGTTTGTTAGCTTGGCCCTTTGGTGGGGTGACAAGAGAATTCAGAAGAAAAGTTCTGTTGAATACAAATGTATAATTGTAGTTATCATTATTAGTTCATTTTCAGTTACCATAATTATTCAAAAAGCGTGCGGAATTGTGATCCACAGCAATTTATTTTATCCTTTCACTCCATTCCTCTCCTTCCTTATAACACTGACAACATAGGAACAGGCAGGTGTGAGGGACCCTCCTCCTCATGCCTGGCCCCGACCCCTCTCCTGAAGGAAGCCCTAGGGCAGGAGCAGTTGCGTGGCACTAAAATAGCTCCTAGCCCTCAAATAGCTCCTTCTCAGCTAGTCTGCTAAAATCCCTAACTTTAAAGTCATTCCCTTCCGGTGTGCCTGAGTCCAAAATATCCTTTTGCTTTATGTATATGTTTCCTAAGATGGGTAATTCATAAACTCACTGGCAGAATTATTACCACCTGAGCATAGACTAACTCATCAAATCAGACATGAAATGAACACAGACACATACATGTTTATTATCCTGGGTTGAGTGAGATGGAACTGATACTACCCAGCAGGCACCATGAGAGGCCAGAGGTGAATCTGGACAGTAGAAGATTATTACAGGGCATTGGTGGTTCATTGGTAGAATTCTCTTTCCATGCATGAGACCCAGATTCAATTCCTGACCAATTTACTTATGCACAGTCACCAATCTGTCAGTGGAGACTTGAGTGTTGCTATGATGCTAAACAGATTTTAGCTGAGCTTCCAGATTAAGGTGGACTAGGAAGAAAGGCCTGGTGATTTACTTCTGAAAATCAACCAGTGAAAGCCCTACAGGTCATAACAATCCAATCCTCAACTGGTCACAGGGATGGCACAAGACCAAGGCAGTATTTTGTTCAGTTGTGCATGGCATTGCCATGGGTTGAGTGCTGACTCAACAGCAGCTAACAACTACAACAACAAAGGATAACTACGTGGGGATCAGAGGCCCACAAAGCAAGGAGAGGAGAGGACAGCTGATATGCCCACTTCTACGCTCTGACTAGGGCTGATAAAAATAACGACATGCAACGGCTTAAAGGGAATGTGTAGAAAAAAGGAAGGACTGCAGGAAGTTAGGATGAATTTACCTAGTACCTGGACCAGTGGTTCTGAACCCTGGCAGCACATTAGAATCACTGGGGAGATTTTAAAAAAATACCAAGGTGCCACCTCTAAGAGTTTCTGATTTAATTTTTCTTGGGTGGCGCCTGGACAATGGTAGTTTTATAAAATCTCCCTAGGTGATTCTAATGTGCAGCCAGCATTGGAAACCACTGACTCTGGCAATCAACCACTGATAGTAACATGCTGGGTATAATTCTGACTTGTCTTTCACATAAAAACGCAAACAGAAGTGGGCAAAATGATGATTTGTCTACAGCACTGAAGAGCAGAATTTCCGTATGGTGGCCTGAATGGACCAATACTGAAAACACATAAGAAAGGAGAAATGTTAAATTGGAAGGAGTTCAAAGAGGTTGCTCTCTCCTGAGAGCACTGCAGCAGGCCAGAGTGAGGCAGTAGGAGAATGCTTATGTTGCTGGCAGGCAAATCCCTACACTCCTAAGTAGTTCAAGACGGCTTTACGTCAGCGATTCTCAACCTTGGCTGTACATTAGAATCACCTGGGGATTTTTCAAAACTCCCAATACCTGGGCTACCATTCCAATTCAACTAGCATCTCTAGGGGTGGGGCCCAGGCAACAGAATTTTTTTAAGCTTCCCAGTTGATTCCAACATGCTACCATGATTGAGAACCACAGCTTTACATAATTATTGATGTTTATTTTCAGTGAAACCTGGCCTTTTCTCAGCTTGAAGGGATGTAGGGAGGTCAGCAGCCTCCCAGGTATGGAGACCCAAGGACTAGAAAAAAGATCAAAGTTTAGGTAAGAATAAGGAAAAAAGGAATAGGAAAAGAAAGGGAAGAAAAAGGAGAGAAGATAAGAAGAGGGATAGAGAAATCAAAGGAAAGAGAATGAAAAGGTAAGGAAAATGGGAAGAGGGCAATGTAGGAACTCAGGCCACAGGGTGTTCAGCCCCTGAATGATCCATCATGGCTCTCCACCCAGATCTCCTGCAACACCAATGCATGCCAGGCGATGGTGGTCCTATCAGATGCTGTCATGGGAAACTCTAGATCGCCTCTTCTCTTGCTGCTGGTTGTGTTCTTTCTGCCAACCCTGCACCCCCTTTTACTGAACTTTGCAGTTTTTCCCTCACTCAGAATAGTTGATGGGTCTCATCATTTGCATAACAGTAAATGATTTCTGAATTATAGGAATAGATGATAGAACATGTAATGGTCCAGCCTTCTAGCCTGAGCATTCTCTCTAACACCACTCAACAGGTCCCTAGCCTACTTAGACCACTCCAGTGATCATAGCTGTCATCCCCTCTTGAAAATCAAACTATCAGGAAGTTCTTTGTGTAAGGTCAGAATTTGTTTCCCAGGAATTTTCATCCTTTGAATGTGGTTCAACCAACTGGAATCACAAAGAACATGTGAGTTATTGTGGGATCCTGAGACTTCTCAAATCTCTCATTTCTCTGTTTCATCTCCTGCTTCCCCTATGATGTCGTTTGAAATCTCCCCTCCTCCCCCACCACCTTGCCACCCTAGTCACTCTCCTCCAAAGTGATTTAAGTCTACTTTCATTCCTTTGGATGTGGTCCCCATACTCCAGAAAGAAGATGAAGTGCAGAGGTGGGGCCAAGATGGTGGAGTAGTCAGATGCTTCTGGTGGACCCTCTTACAACAAAGACCGGAAAAAACAAGTGATTCGATTATACATGGCAATCTGGGAGCCCTGAACATCAAAGACAGAGTTGAAGAACCGGACTGAGTGGCAGAGGGAGGGAGAGATGGTTCAGAAGCAGCGAGGAGGTGCCAGACCTGACCCGGAGAGAGCCTGAGCCCTTCAGGCCTGACCAGCTCGTGGGTGAGCGGTGAGGCAGGCAAGCAGCAGTGCTCGGGAGGCGTGTTTCCCACACCAGCAGAGACCCAGCACCAGAGACTCTACACGGCCACCCAGAACCAGTGAGAAGCAGCCCTCATTGGCGGAAGATAAGTTTTTGCCTACGGCTTACCACACGGATCAAAAACACCCCCCTTAGGGAAAAACCTCTCTCCCATTTACCTCCCCACTCCCTGCTCTGCACTGCGTCCCGGACCAGCAGTTGCCGAATCCGCTAAGCTGGAAGTAGGATCTGTCACACGTCTGGAGCCATTCTCCCTGCCTTGGAAAGTGAACAAATTAACAAATGGGAAAAAATAAGCTGCCGGCTCCCCTAAGCCAGGAACCCAGGATGGCCACAGCTCCTTTGCCT